GGTCAAGCAATTCTCCTACCTCAGCCTCTCAGTAGCTGGGATTACAGGTGCCCGCCACTTCATCCAGCTAATTTTTTTTATTTTTAGTAGAGACAGGGTTTCACCATCTTAGCCAGGCTGGTCTTGAACTCCTGACCTCATGATCCACCCACCTCAGCCTCCCAAAGTGCTGGGATTACAGGCATGAGCCACCGTACCTGGTCTTCCTGAAACCTTCTATTTTTTGACCAACTTTACCCCTAACCCTTGGTGAGCACCATTCTCTCTACCTCCCTGAGTCCCACTTCTTTAGCTCCCACGGGAGTGAGACCACACAATAGCTTGTATCTGTCCTGGCACATTTCACCTCAATCTTCTACCCTTTTTAATTGACATGTGTCCACCCTCAGTTACAGGTCACCCTCCCTAGGAAGAAGTCTGAGAATGTTCTGCAGAGATGTGTTCCTGGCTGTGTGCGCACGCCTTCCAAGCACAGAGCCCAGTGCCAGGACATAGAAAAGTGAGTCACCCACAGTCACTGCAGCCCAACCACCCCATCGTTAGCACCAGAGGGTCAAGGGTCAGCGTCCTACCTCCCCTGCTGAAGCTGCTGTTGGAAAGGTATGCCTGGATGGTGGCATCTCGGAGCGTGATGGTCACGTTGCTCATGTGGACCTGGGTGCCACTAACACATCTGTATTTTTTATCTATATCTGCCCTGATGTCCGTTATAGATTCCACAGTCTTGGTTTCTAGATTATTTAAAAAAAAAAAATCACAATTATAAACGCCTGGCTAATTACAATTACAAAGTATTTGTAGTACTTAGTTTATTTTATATATTTTATATTTTTTATTTTATAATTATTTTTTAAGATGGATTCTTGCTCTATCACCCAGGCTGGAGTTTAGTGGCACAATCTCAGCTCACTGCAACCCCCAAGTCCTGGGTTCATGCGATTCTCCTGCCTCAGCCTCCTGAGTAGCTGGGATTACAGATGCATGCCATCATGCCTGGCTAATTTTTGTATTTTTAGTAGAGAAGGGGTTTCACCGTGTTGGTCAGGCTGGTCTCAAACTCCTGACCTTGTGATCTGCCTGCCTCCCAAAGTGCTGGGATTACAGGCACGAGCCACTACACCTGGCTGTGTGATTTTTGGTTTTTAGAGACAGTCTCACTCTGTCACCAAGGCTGGAGTGCAGTGGCACAAGCCTGGCTCATTGTAATGTCCGCCCCCTGGGTTCAAGCAATTCTCCTGCCTCAGCCTCCCAAGTAGCTGGGATTACAGGCACCCCTGCCACCACACCTGGCTAATTTTTTGTATTTTAGTAGAGATGGGGTTTCACCATGTTGCCCAGGCTGATCTCGAACTCCTGAGCTCAGGCAATCCACCCACCTCAGCCTCCCAAAGTGCTAGGATTACAGGTGTGAGCTACCACACCCAGCCTCAGATCTTTTTTGTATCCTATGTATGTAAGCCTACTTCATTTAAAAAACAGTTACATAGAATTCCACAATATGCAGTCTACCTCATTTATTCCTATTTTGGTTGACATTTCAGTTTTCCAGTTTCTGGCTATTGGCAAATGATACCTCACTGGATAGCCTTGTACATGATAAACATGTGAGAGTATTTTCTAGGTTATATAACTGAAAGAGGAATTGCTAGGTTGAAGGGTATACACATTTGAGTAAATACTGTTAAATATTGCCCACCAAAATGTCTGCCTTTTTATCCACTCTACCTACAAAATATGATGATGTTTCTCTATACTGCTGACAATATTGGATATTATTGACCTTTTTAGTTTTGTCTATCTTGGATATTGCATGTTACTGGCTATTTCTCTTTCCATTTCTATGAATTGCCTATTCATACACTTTGCTTATTTTTTCTTCTTTCAGGTTGTATTTTTCTTGTTGATATATAGGAGTTGTTTATATATTCTGGATATTAAGCCCTAGTTACATATATTACATATATTTTCCTCAGTCTCATTGTTTTAACTTTATTGATCTTTTTCATTCATGCCTTGTGTCTGTGTTTCTTCTTATATATTTTTTCTGTTTTTGAATGTATAAAATTGGCTACTTAAGGAGCAATAGCTTTTTTTTCTTTTTCAGGCTTATCGAGGTACAACTGACAAATTGTAAATGTTTTGATATATGCATAAATTGTGAAAGGATTACTGCAGTCGAGCTAATTAGCATATCAATCACCTGATGTAGCTATCTTTTTCAGTGTATTATTTCTTGAAATAAAATGTATATACAATTGGCCTGGTGTAGTGACTCACATCTGTAATCCCAACACTTGGAGAAGCTGAGGAGGGCAGATCACTTTAGTCCAGGAGTTTGAGACCATCCTGGCCAACGTGGCAAAACCCTGTGTCTACTAAAGATACAAAAATTAGCCAAGCATGGTGGTACATGCCTGTAGTCCCAGCTACTCTGGTGGCTGAGGCACGAGATTTGCTTGAACCTGGGAGGCGAATGTTGCAGTGAGCCAAGATCCCGCCAGCGCTCTCCAGGTTGGGTGACAGAGTGATACTCTGTCTCAGAAACCCAAACAAAAAAAATTTATATACAGTAAAATGCACATACCTTAAATACTTAGTTTGTTGAGTTTTGGTAGTTATGTACATTCGTATATCTACCACCAAAAATATATAAAACATTTCCACTTCTCCAGAAACTTTCCTTGTACCCCTTTCCAATCAATCCATCCTTCCCCCATTTTACTTCCAGCAACCTCTTTCTAACTTCTGTGACCATAGATTAATTTTGCTTGTTCTTAGACTTCATTACAATGGGATCTTAAAATGGTTGTGTGTGTATGTGCCGGGATTCTTTTGCTCAACACAGTGTTTTTTGAGATTTGTTCATGTTCTTGCTTTGATTGGTGATTTTCCTTTGTATTGCTGAGTAGTATTCAATTCTATGATTATACCACTATTTGTTTTTCTATTCTCCTATTGGTGGGAATTTAGATTATCTCAAATCTTTAGCTATTATGAATAAAGCTACCCTGAACATTTGTATACAGATCTTTTTGTGAACATATGTTTTCATTTCACTTGGATAAATATCTAGGAATAGAAGATGGCAAATGTATGTTTAATTTTATGAGAAAGTGCCTAACAGTTCTCTAACATGGTTTGTACCATTTTACACCCTAGCTGTGTATGAGAGTTGTTTTTTACATTTTTTGTATGCTCTGGTACAGTTGATATAACATGGAAATTATCTCTGAAAGTTTCTTGAAGATTTGATTTTCTATGTCTTGAGCCAATTCTGGTCATTTATATTTTCTTAGAAAGCTGTTCATTTTGGCCAGGCACAGAGGCTCACACCTGTAATCCCAGCACTTTGGGAGGCCTAGGCAGGAGGATTGCTTGAGCCCAGGAGTTGGAGACCAGCCTAAGCAATATAGTAAGACTCTGTCTCTACAAAAAATAAAAAATTAGTCAGGCGTGGTACTGCATGCCTATAGTCCTGGCTACTTGGGGGACTGAGGTAGAGGATCAACAGAGCCCAGGAGGTCGAGGCTGCAGTGAGCCAAGATCACACCACAGCACTCTAGCCTGGGTGACAGAGTGAGACCCTGTTCCCTACCCCCCCCCACAAAAAAAAAGGAAGAAAAAAATTATTCTTTTTGTCTGATTGTCAAATTTATTAATATAATATTGCAAATAGATTTATGTTTTTAATTACTGTATGTCTCTACTTTCATTTGAATTGTTTATGTGTCGTCTCTTTTTTCTATCATATTTGACAGATTGATTACTTTCTTCCAATTTTTACTTTTAGTCTATTACTGAGTTCCTCCTAAGTTGTTTTATTTTGTTTTATTTTATGTTCTTTTTACTACTTGTTGAGAGCTGAGTTCACTTCTTCTCTTTTTCAAAAAAAGCTTTTCAAGCATATACAAAAGCGGTCACGATGGTATAATGAATGTTCCCCCAATATACCTATCATGCAGTTTCAACAATGACTAATTTATGACCAGTCTTGTTTCGTTTGTATAATACCCAGTTTTTCCCTCTGATATTATTTGAAACAAATCATGGATATGTTGTTTTATTTATTTCAGTTTGTATCTGTAGAAATTAAGAACTCTTAAAATATAATCACCTAGGTTGGGTTCAGTGGCTCATGCATGTAATTCCAGCACTTTGGGAGGCCGAAACAGGAATATAGAGACCAGGAATTTGACACCAGCCTGAGCAAATAGCAAGACCCCACTGTCTCTACAAAAATCAAAAATAAAATAGCCAGGTATGGTGGTGCATACCTATAGTCCTAGCTGAAGCATGAGGATTGTTGGAGCCCAGGAGTTTGAGGCTGTAGGGAGCTGTGATTGTGCCACTGCACTCCAGCCTGGGCCACAGAGTGGGAACCTGCCTCAAAAAAACAAAAGCAAAACAACAAGCATTACACAGAAAGAGTATGCGAAATGTCTATAATAGATAATTAACAAGTATAACAAATGCATGCCACTTATTTGCTAGAAATCTAAATTACAAAAGGCTTTAGTAATCCCATAGAAACACAAAGACATTTCAACAAAACTACTCAGGAACATTTTAATCAAACTAGTCCAGTGTTTGTAGCACTGCATGTCAAATAACCATTTAGATACATTTCTTGGAGTATAATAATTTCTCTAAAATAAAGCAAAAAAGCCACATTCACAGAGCATGAAAAATAATTCAAGGCCGGGTGTGGTGGCTCATGCCTATAATCCTAGCACTTTGGGAGGTGGGCAGATCACAAGGTCCAAAGATAGAGACCACCCTGGCCAACATGGTGAAACCCTGTCTCTATGGTGTGGTGGCATGTGCCTGTAGTCCCAGCTACCAGGGAGGCTGAGGCAGGAGAATCGCTTGAATCCAGGAGGCGGAGGCTGCAGTGAGCCAAGATTGTGCCACTGCACTCCAGCCTGGCAACAGAGTGAGACTCTGTCTCAAAAAAAAAAAGAAAAGAAAAGAAAAAGATAAAAAGAATTCAAAACAATTTACCAACTACCAATAGGAGAGTGTGTAACAAATTATGGTGAACTAACATAATAAAGTATTATATCATGATTATAAAAGACAACCATGAAGAAAACTAGAGCTGGGCATGGTGGCTCATGCCTGTAATTGCAACACTCTGGGAGACCAAGGCAGGCAGATCACTTGAGATCAGGAGTTTGAGATCTGCCTGGCCAACACAGCAAAACCCCATCTCTACTAAAAACACAGAAACTGGCTGGGCATGGTGGTGGGTACGGTAGTGGGCACCTGTAGTCCCAGCTACTCAGGAGGCTGAGGCAGAAGAATTGCTTGAACCCAGGAGGCAGAGGGTGTGATGAGCTCAGACGTCACTGCACTCCAGCCTGGGCAACAGAGCAAGACTCCGTCTCCAAAAAAAAAAAGAAAACTAGAAAAATGTTCATAACAGTGAGATGCAGCACAAAGAAAGGCTTGTGACTATGACTGTAGCCACGGCACGTGACAGCACAGGACACTGACCATGCCAGAGGAAACACGCAGAAGGGAAAGCATCAGGTTCAGATGGGGCCAAAGACTCGGTAGAAACGTTCAAAACCATCTTCCCGCACACACAAGGGAAGCGTGAAGTACCGTGGTGCTTCCTACCTTAGGGCCGCTCTTGGAGTCGTAGTTCACTGAGAAGGCAGCAGAGAAGTTGGCCATTATGCACACGGTGCCGTTGCTGTTTTTCACCACAAACACTGACGACGCACAATGCAGGAGGCCTGTCAATTCCAGGAAGATGGAGACCATCAAAGACATTTCAGAAAACACAACTGAGTACTCCCATTTTTCACAGCTGTGGCGGTGATGGGCTTTATTACAAGATTCCACTGTGGGTTTTTTTGTTTTTGTTTTTGAGACGGAGTCTCGCTCTGTTGCGGAGGTTGGAGTGCAGTGTCATGATCTTGGCTCACAGCAAACTCCTAACCACCTCCTTCCAGGTTCAAGTGATTCTCCTGCCTCAGCCTCCCAAGTAGCTGGGATTACAAGCATGTGCCACCAAACCCAGCTAATTTTTATATTTTTAGTAGAGACAGGGTTTGCCATGTTGCCCAGATTGGTCTTGAACTCCTAGGCTCAAGCACCCTCACACCTCAGCCTCCCAGTGGTGCTGGGATTACAGGTGAGAGCCACCACGCCCAGCCCTGTGTTTCTTAAATCCACTGAAGAACCAGACACGTGGATTCTGTGGCCAGTTCACCTGGTGCCCTGTCCCTTGCGGATACTATTCTGGAACTCTTTTCTCTAAACCCATCTGACAAGTTTGCCAACCTGGTCTACTGCTATTTAGTGCTTTATTTCAGAACACTTATCAGGAAGGCACATGTCAATTTCTGGGTCATCCTAGGCATGCATTGCTGCACATTTCTCAGAGGATCTCCGTAAGATGTGGTGGGCCTTGAAGGCACAACTCACCCTTCTGCGGAAATCCATGGGAGTCTGTAGTAGCTTTCCCTGTGGTCCTCAACTGCTACTTAACATTTGGTCAGTTTTCTTTCTCACACACTGTGATATGGCAAGAAAAGCCATGGACTCAGGCCAGGCGCAGTGGCTCATGCCTGTAATCCCAGCACTTTGGGAGGCCAAGGTGGGCGGATCACGAGGTCAGGAGTTCAAGACCAGCCTGACCAATACGGTGAAACCCCATCTCTAATACAAAAAATTAGCCCGGCATGGTGGCATGCACCTGTAGTCCCAACTATTCAGGAGGCTGAGGCAGGAGAATCGTTTGAACCCAGGAGGCAGAGGTTGCAGTAAGCCGAGGTCACGCCACTATACTCCAGCCTAGGGGACAGAGCAAGACTGCGACTCAGAAAAAAAGGCATGGACTTAAACAGCTGAGCTCTTTGCCCAATTTCAGAAAGATCCTCACAGCACCGCACATCTGGTGGAGTGGCTTCCCTTCCCCATCCGGAAGCAAAGGGACAGAACTGAAGCTCTGTAAGTCTTTCTAGCTTACAGTGGTCACTGCTAAATATATATATATATTTTTTTCTTAATTGTGTGTACAGCTCACATTTATTTAAATGTTTAATGTTAGAAGTGTCTTGGTCTTTAATTTTTTTTATTATTTTTATTGCATTTTAGGTTTTGGGGTACATGTGAAGAACATGCAGTACACATATGGCAGTGTGATTTGCTGCCTTCCTCCCCTTCACCTACATCTGGCATTTCTCCCCATGCTCTCTCTCTCCTCCTCCCCACCCCACCTGGCTTTTTCATACCCCACTTCCCTGATCAAGATGTTTGGCAACAAATATAATCTGATCACTACAGTAGAGACACTGGTAATTGTACAAATCGCACATTACATAGTTCTTTCATTACAGACTGGCAAAAATAGGTGTTTTTGCTTTTTGCCAAACACCTATCAGCCACCACAGTGAACCATGCAAAAATGACATGCTTTCACTTGTCTCTGCCATTACAAGCTCATGCACGCCAGTCCACTGAGCACTCACCACCCTGGGGCTCATCTCACACTTCAACAGCACAGCCTTCCAATGACACACACAGCTCGGTCTCATTTGTCACTCTAAGGTGACATTGTGAGGGCCGATACTAAAAGAGAGGACGCTCAGCTTTTCACTGAAAATCCTATTTCCTGGAAAAGTAATGGATTCCAACAAATCCAATTCATTTCAACCTCGGGTCTTTCCCAAAATAAAATTTTTAGAGCAACTATTCTTCAAGCATAAAGCAAGGCATATGACCAGAAGTCCCACCTATCTTCCCTTGAGCTTCTGGTAAAGGAAATACCAAAATCTACGTCCACAAAGGAAAGGTGCTGCTGGGCATGGTGGCTCATGCCTGTAATCCCTGCACTTTGGGGAGCCAAGGTGGGTGGATCACAAGGTCAGGAGTTCAAGACCTCGTGATCCACCTGCCTTGGCCTGGGAGCCTGCCCAACATGGGGAAGCCCTATCTCTACTAAAAATATAAAAATTATCTGGGCGTGGTGGCAGGCACTGTAATCTCAGCTACTCGGGAGGCTGAGGCAGGAGAATCGACTGAACCCAGGAAGCAGAGGTTGCAGTGAGCTGAGACTGTGCCACTGCACTCCAGCCTGAGTGACAAGAGCGAAACTCTGTCTCAAAAAAGGAAAAGAAAAGGTGCTACATGACAATAAAACAAAGCAGGGCGTGCAAGGAAACCTGCAATCTAATGTCTGCTTTGCTGGGTTTTTCAACCCACACCCCTTCAACACTCAGGCAAGATCATACTAATAGCACTTCCAATGAATCTAGAGAATCTAGAATATTCTATCCCTTTTCCACATAGTAAAGGTTTCTAAAAAGAAACAAAATATTCTCACTCCTGAGAGAGATCAAATGAGTGTACAGGAGCGATTGCAGACGCCTGAAAGGCAGAAGCAGTGGACAGGCAGACCCAGCAGACACCAGAGAAAGGCTTACTATTGACTGGAACTTAGCGTGGACAGAGCCACTGCCCACCCTTGCCCTCAGCTGAGAAGCCATATGGCTCACAGCCACCACTGACAAGATGGACGGCCGCATGGGTGCACCCACAAGCCAGCTTTTATTAAGCT